CCAGCTCGATGAAATCTGCCCAGCTCGATGAAATCTGCCCAGCTCGATGAAAATTTGTCCAGCTCGTTGGAAAAAAGAACCTTTTCAACTCATACATTTTTGGGATCTGTGACTCCTGAGTGCATCTCGCAAGAGGCGAAACCCAAGATCCCGCCAGGAAAGACTCATGCGCCATGTTCTTCAACTTGATAGGCGGGGCTCGACTTGCGGTGTTTGTGTGCTACACTCCCTGTTAGGCAACCTGCTGTAGACGGAAGGGGAACCTGTTTTGTTCTCTTCCGGCATTTTGCTACCGTCGTTGACTCGACGGGGTCACTGTTGTCCTTTCCACTGGCAGGCTCGGTCCGCGAGTAAAATGCCCCCGTGTGGCAGGTTTTCTTCCAGTCCTGAGCCACTGCGGCGATGGCCTTGAGGTCCCGTGCTGCCTTCTCTGCCTGGTCCCGCTCGCGAGCGGCCAAGGCATCCTCAACAACCACCACCTTGAAGTCTTTCAGCGTGAGCCTAGGGACTTGCCAGACGTTGGGCGAGTTGCGGAATTTTGAGATCTCCGCAATTACCTCTGTCACGCGTTCCAGATCCTTCTTCAGCTTCTCAACTGTTTTGTATCGTTCGTCCCTCAGCTGCTGGTATCGTAGCAGATTTCGTGCCCCGTCCATAATCATGTCGACAACGGTGTCACTATGTCCTAGCATTGTGAGTGAAGATTTGATTTGGTCCATTAGTGCTAGCGTCGGGACTTGGGGAGACTGGGTAACATCGCCAGTGTCATCAGAAGTGGCAATTTCTGTTTCCATCGTGCGGTAGGCGAGGAGCAAGGCGACCTTCATCGCATCGGTGTTGAGCTGAGACTATGGAAACAGTCAGCGACGCTCGGTTATAGACATAGGGCCGTGGGAACCGAATAGGGACCACTGACGATGGCTCGAGCTTCCGCCGCTGTTTGTTCACTCTCTGTCTTGACCACTTTAGACGGTGGGGAATCTGTCGTGTTCAACAAATCGTTGAGACCAAACTTCAGCACATCCTTATCATTCGGATGACGCCAGAACTGCGAGAGTTGGGGTAAGTCGGAAAAGGTCCCGAGGACATTATCGGGAATAGCACTTAGGACAGGCGGGGGAGCGACGAGGTCGTTGAGCGTCCTAGGAGGGCGCATGGTGGACGATCCGCGGGAGTCGGTAGGCGCAAAGGCTTGAAAGTGAGGCGGTACGCCACGAGAGGGTTTCTTTAAACCTGGAAGAAGCAATATTGTAGAACTAGAGACCAACGTCGATACAAAAGGTCAAGTCAGACTCTGGTCAAATTGGAGTAAGAGTAGGACGAGCTCCAAAGACGTCAAAGAATAAGAGAGCCACTGGTGAGCCGCTGACGCAGAAAGAAGTGAACTCCAGATGATGGGAAAACCATCAGAGCAGAAGTACGTACCTGCGACGAGTGCCTCAAGAAGTCCTTCCAGCGCGGCTCATCGGACCCCAATTCTCCCTCGGGTTCATCTGGTACCTCACTAACCTGCCGCGAGGCTTCTCCTTTCCCAACTTTTCGTCAAACGTAATTCTGAGCTTGTTCAGTGGTGGAATTGAAGGACTTTCAGACCGTGAGCGACGACCGTTAAGTGGTTCGTCAGTTTGAGCTGTTGCGTCTTCGCCACCACCGTTCGGTTCAGAAGATTCACCGCTCTTCTTTTCGAGCATCGAATGTTCGTTCTCCAATCGATACAAGATCCCTTGCAGCACTGTTTTCAGGTCGTCCTTGATCTCGCACCTCCGAAGCTGTTCCCTTGTTGCGTCCTTCAATTCCGACACGAGAGCCCTCTCTGATCCTCTGGCCCTCGCTAAGATCTGATACCCTGCTGTGCCTTTTCTAACCGCCCCATCCTTGATAGGTGCCTTTGTCCGCATGAATTCTCGCATCACTTCCCACAACACGGACCACGGGGCATTCGTTTTGATACTGCCTGGCTTGCAATGTGACCTGGAAACTTTGTAGCCGAGACCAAGCAGGGCACCTCTCATCGCATCTTCCGAAGGTGTTGCGCAATGGATTATCTTTGCCAGATAAGTAGGCATGATGAAAAATGGAGCAACGTCTGGCTTGTTGGTGGCAAGCCGCGGTATTAGCGTCGAGGCAGGCGTAGCTCCGTCCTTTGATTCTGAGACATTTGCAGCATCCGGGCCTGAGTCACTGGGCATGAGATCCTCCTCTAGAGCCAAAGTGAGCATTCCCTCAATTCTATCGACGGTGACATATGTGTCCTTGTCCAGGATTCGGGCCTTTTCGAGCATCTTCTCAACAAAATGCGGATTATGCAGCGGGCCTGACCACATCGGACCACACAGATGCATGATAGAACCACAATGCTCACAATTCCGATTTGTGGACGGTGCTTGAGCGAACGAGAATTTGTAGAATAAGTCGCCAGATTTTGATTTCTGTGGTTGGTTCCGAAGCAGAGGCTGTGTGACCCAAGCTCCGCAGCCATGTCCGCAATTGTAGACCGTCATGGACGTGCCAGCTAACATCTTGACCTCTTGCTGCTTTCGGTGGACGCGAATGAACAGCCGGGCATAGTAATCGATGTAAAGTGACAGAAGGGGCTCGATTGCAAGACCATACTTTGCGGCAGACATCGCAACCCCATTGAGTATCAGTCTCAAACCAGCTTCATGCGAATGTGGGCCCTTAAGAGGAATTCCACCGTACAGTGCAAATGTCTTCTCTGGATATCCCGCTGAAGCAAAGACACCAGCATCTGTGCAGGTAATACACAGCATCCCACCATCCTGGACTGCCTGAAGACTGCAATCGAAGAAAGGAGCTGCCGTCCCATAAGGGTCGATGTCGATCACGTCATATCGATGCACATATCCTTCCGCAGGCCTTAACTGCTCGTTTCCAACTTTGCTATACATGAAAGCTCGAGCATCACCGAGGTTCGACCGGACTTTGTCTTTGACTTCGTTGTGTTTAATATTGAGTTCGATGTTCTCGACCGAGGCCCGTGAGAGATCATTTGCGACGATGTTTGTAGCAAATGGTATTTCTTTGGCGTATCGCAATGCTCGGAGACCTGTTGCGGACAAAGCATCCAGAATAGAGAAAGGAAGTTGTTTCTTTGAGACTGCAGGTGGAGCGTCCGCAGGTTCGGCAGCCTCTGGCTGCTCATCATTCTTTGGCTGCAGCTCTACCCCTCCAATCTCATTACCCGCAGGGTCTGCAGTGAGCTCGGCAACGAGTGGTTCTTCGTCGTCTTCGTCGTGTCCATTAGCTTTAAATTTCTTTACAGGCTCTTCTGCATCACCAGCCTCCACTGTATCGTCCAGGTGATCAGCTTTGCGCTTTCGATTATTAGGTTGCTCTGGTTTGCTGCTGGCGTCATTACCGAGTTGAGCAGTAGGTTGGGCGTTCATCTTTTTTGCAGCCTTCTTCTTTTTCGTATGCTCATTCCTTTGAGTAACTCTTGCTTGCTTCTCCGCCAGAGCGCCTTCGCCGTAGACAGTGATTGCCAGGACACTCAGGTCTCGATTGAACTGCTGAATAGGGTTGTAGAAGACGGCCTGGTTGCCCTCGTCGTTGTTTTTGGAGTGTTTGGCTGATGCTGGAGGTTCCCCAGCATATGGCGCAAGTACTGAAGCCAGACCTTCACGAACGTGCCTGTACTTCTTGCCATCGATCATGATGGTCTCTGGAGCAGCCGGGGATGCCATGTTGGAGCGTGATGAGGTCGTGAAAGTCCTCCTTTGCGAGTTTGGGAAATATCCTTGGCTGTGAGTCGCGAGTTTTGGCACGGTGTCGCGGACGAGATCGATCCGGATGAAAGCGAGACAACGTCCTATCTTCATCACCGAGCCCGTTTCTACCACTCAAGCACCAAACATAAAAGAACTCCAAACACCAACTTTTAGGGCGTGTTACAGTGACAGCATCTGTGAGAAAGACACGGGTATGAAGAAAAGCCAGCATCGAATACTTTTCTGCAAGGATCTGCCAAGACGAGATACTTTAAGCGGCTAGGCATAGCCTTGCAGAAGTAAACTAGTACATTCACGGCAAGGCTCAGCCTCGCTCATGAATAGGAGGACTCGAGGACCTTTGCACAAGTCATTCGATATCTCATACAAACAAGCCGAGAGCCTGCTATGTAAGAATGAGCAATGGGCTCTCACATTGTCACGGCTCCTCCATCAGCCAACCAAAAATAATGCACATTGAAAGCCAAGAAGATAACAAGCGCCCGTCTCCCCTCAGCCTCAACTGGTGTTTGAGAGTTTTGAAACAGCTTTAGTCTCAGATCCTTTTCGTCAAACGCCTCTCCTCCCATTCTCAAACCGGATCCCCCGTCACAATGGCTACCGTGATTCTCCAAACTATCAGATTTGGGAGATTGCCATCTCAGTCGTAACGGTGGGCACGGTTTCACGGGCGTTAGTGGTGCGATCACGCATGGTTCAAACCTTCAGGAGACTACCTAGGTATACCGCCCTGTTTCGAAGTTAGCTGCTGGTGAGCATGCCATACCTGGGTCAAGTACAAAATTGTCGAGTCTCCTGTTTCTGCACTTCCTCTCTCTTCGCCGCTTCTTTGAGCCTTGGTTACGGATCCGTTTTCTTGCTGCTTTGCTGACCTCTACAACCAAATACAACATTCTGTCGGGCCAACGACTGTCACGATGTCAAGGAAACATTTCTCAACTATCACCTGCCTTCTCTTCGTCCTCATCACAATCGCAAGCGCTGTTCCTTCGCCACTCAGTCTGCTCAGCCCCCGGCAACAACAAAGTAATCAGCCTATCTGCAGCGAATATTCGACCATCGCAAACCTGTCCATTGTTGGTGCCAATTCTACATACCGAGCCGCATACCTTAAAGCTTCCCCTCAAGGCTACGACCCGGCCAGCGCACCCCTCGACTCCGCAATTCCCAAGCTGCCCAGTTTTCAATTTAATGCCAGTATCAATGCCGAGTGTGGCAATTTGACGGAGGTGGCAATTAAGGGCGCCGCGACAAACTTTACCCAAGGGCAGGTATTACAGTTCAACATCAATTCCGCCGTGCAGATGAGGGCAGGTTCATTGGGGATGGCGGTGATTATGGCTATAGTTGTGGCCACGGTTATGGATATATTATAGTGGGGGGATCACGATGTACTATCTCTCCTGTATCATAACTCCCCAGAGATTTCAAAATTAGACGATGAATCGAGATGAGGCGTTTTTGGGAACAACGCATACGAGTCGAGACATTTTCGAGAACTCTGTTACTGAGTGTATCGACCTCTGCCATCTTCTTTCGTCCATGCTGAGTAGTTCTGCCCATGAATCGCCATTCGTATTGAAAGATTCCCAGAGTGAGGATGTCAACCGCCGCCTTTTGGCATCTTCTCCTCCAAGGCGTATTTGTCACATTGGGTGCCATTTGAGACCCTGATCGAATGTGGATCGTAACAGGCCGTCGTGCGTGGAGGAGCGACGGGACTGATCGTGAGACGAGAGCAACAAGTTGTGGAACGCGCCAATTGTGCGTTCAAGGCGCCGGTTGACATCGTATCAGCCGTACATTGCGCCTCTTGAAACCATAGACTTTCCCGCCTATGGTCCGCAGACCTGGCATGGCCACCACGCCGGTCGGTCCACGTCGAACTCTGCGATTGCTTTAATGACCGTTCGAGAGTTGTGTTCACCATCATAAATTGTGTCGTGTACGTACTGGGCAGGGCAAGGTCGAAGTATATCCAATCCTTTGCTTCACAGGCGCTGAGGTGGGATACGACTGATGCGCAGTTTGAGGATCGCAAACGGCCGGAATCGTTCGAGAAAGGTGGTTGCTTCAAGAGCCCGCAGAAACATAGCCTTTGCAACCAGGCATGCATCCTGTTGGCCTTCGAGGATCGTAGTAATCCTCACCTTCTGTCAGATCACTGTCGTCCATGTCGGCATCCCGCTTCTCGACCATGGTAGTGTCCGCATCCTCTCTCTTCTCGAGCTCGGCTTTTGGCTCCTCGTCCGCAGGCGCAAACGCATTCTTGAACCCGCCTTTCTTGAAGCCTCCACCACCGCTTGCTGTGCTCTTAGTACCACCGCCAAGTTTTATCTGCATCAGCGGTCCTTTCTCTTCCTTCTTGGGCTGCACCTGTCGTTGCATTTCCTTCATCTCTTTCAACCTTTTCTTGTGCTGGTGATCATAGGACGATTCATGGGCCTCGAATTCGTTCATGCGACTGTAACCTTTTTGACATAACGAGCAGAAGAATGCACTTCGCGCCTGTTTGGCGGATTGTGTACTGGCGGGAGGAAGGGTGAATCCTCTCTGAGGGACGAGCGACTAGTCAATAATGCCAAAGAGACAACGAAAGCTGGACGGCGAGACTTGGTAGGCATAACGAGCGCAACTTACCGGAGGCATGTCTGTGAGGATGAGCAGTCAGGCGCAGGAGAAGAGTCTCATATGCAGTGACTGTCTGATAGACTCTTGGAATTGCTGCGGGAGATGGAAGAGAACAAAGAAAACTGTGGTGGTGGATTGTTCTCACATAATCGGCCGCGTCTCGGACCAAACCCCTCGTATCTCGAAGCACGAGCCAACACATCTTTCAGCCGCACAGTGGACAACGACGCATCATCCGAGGAGCTCTAGTACCGCTTTCTAATCGCAATTCTCTGTCTTTCCTTCACTCTTACAGATACGCTACAGGCGCTGTTGTCGCCGACCAAGTTTAGAGCGATCAGGTGAATCCTAACGAACCTGAATGATGCGGCAATTGATGCCCTCAAGGCCAACACATGAACTCGGGTTGACGCTGGTCAATCCTTCAACAGATCATTAATAAGGCTGGAGACATTTGTCAATAGGAGAAACCCTCCCAGCATCACGGGTCAACAGCTCATGACTTCCATCGATCGCAGCGATCGTCGCCATGCGCCTGATAAATGTCCGGACGATGCAATTGGAGGAAGTCCCCAACAGCACGGCTCCCCAGTATGCTATCCTTTCGCATCGCTGGGAACAGGAAGAAGTCACTCTCCAGGACATGAGTTCTCAGGAGACCTTTGGCAAGAGAGGCTTCTCCAAGATTCAGCAGGCTTGCTGGCTTGCCCGCAACAAAGAACTTGCCTACCTTTGGGTCGACACCTGTTGCATTGACAAGACGAGCTCGGCCGAGCTCACGGAGGCCATCAACTCGATGTATCGATGGTATCAGGACGCCCAAATCTGCTTTGCCTACCTCACCGATATTGAGATCCACAAGCGCGACATGAAGGACAGCGTATGGTTCACAAGGGGCTGGACGCTCCAGGAATTGATTGCTCCAAAGCACGTCAGCTTCTACGACCGAAACTGGGTATTTCTAGGCACTAAAGACAACCTTGCGGGGGATCTCTCGAATATCACTGGCATTGATAGGGATGTTCTCATCGGCCAAAGAAGACACTCGAGCTGTTCGATAGCACAGCGAATGTCGTGGGCCTCAAAGCGGTCGACGGAACGGATCGAGGACCGAGCATACAGTCTTCTGGGTATCTTCGACGTCAGCATGCCCATGTTGTACGGTGAAGGAGAAAAATCATTTACAAGGCTGCAAGAAGAGATCATCAAGCATTCCGACGACCAATCCATATTCGCATGGGATCGTGGATTGGATGGCAAAAATTTCCGCGGCCACAGCGGTCTTTTAGCATCCTCTCCCTCACACTTTGCCACTTGTCAGAACGTCGTCACCGCCTCCCATGGTTTAACAAACACCAGGGGCTTCGCGTTGACCAATGTTGGGTTAGAGATTTCCTTACTGACCGTTCCGTGGGCTATGGAGACGTACCTCTGTATCCTAAACTGCAGCCTCAAGGACTGGCCTCAATATCGAGTGGGAATATTCCTCGAACGACTCTATTCGTCCCAAAACGCAGAGCAATATGCTCGAGTGCAGATTGACGGTGCCACAGTGCTGACCCTCCCACTTCGGACAATTCTGTGCGATTCTCATTGCCGGGAGCGCACCGTCCACGTCCGGCCGAATATCATCGACGCGCCGATGCGACGCTGGCATGGCTTCCGCCTCCATGACTTCACTCTGCCAGGATACACCATGAACGAAATCCATAAAGCGAGGTTCCATTTCTGCTACAGCTTACAGTCCATGAGCCGGTACACCGCCGAGGAAAGACGGGCAGCACAGGATGGACTTCTGAGCTTGCCTCTTCGACCCATCTACTTCCATATGCCGCGTGCTAGAGGACGCCCAATGAGTGTCAGGGGCACGGCCGCCGTCATCTACGTCCCACCTTCGAGGAGGGACAAGAACGGCGAGCGCATCTGCTGGATGAAGTTCGGATTTGACGAAGATTTCCGTCCCGTGTGCATCTTTGGCAGACGCAAGTCCCTGTGGGGCGGAAACGCAGCGCACCTGACTGTCGACGAGGACTCGTACTACGACGCTGAAGAAGAGCACGAAGCGCATGCCCGCCTTTTCCTCCATGACTGGCTCAACCCGGACTGGGTCAATCGGAACCTGTGCACGACCGATTCGGAAATCGCCGCGTCCTGGCAGAGGCGGGACTTCTTCATCCTGAAGGGCGTCAAGGATTGGGGCCTTGACAGACAGGTCCCGTTCTTGCGGCTGCGGATTTCGATCCGCTTGGAGAGCCTCCCATTCGACTTTCCGTCCGACGGACGGCCCGAGTCGCCCTTGCCGGGGATGAACGTGTGGACCATCAATGTGAGTTGCTGGCGAGGCTCAGGCGACAACGGGGCAGAGAGGACGGCCGTGCGGACCGGCGAGCTCGTGCTCCGCTCTTTGGACGACGTTATTGCCGCGTTTTAACGAGGCTTATGAACAACGACGACGACAACGACGGTTACGATTGTGACGATAATTTCCCCATTTTTTGCGCACCCTAATCTCTTTTTTTCAGCGCCCTCGGACTTTTGGTGCTTAGCAACCTCCTTCTTCACCTGAGGCCGGTGGGGGGTGGAGAACCCAGTCTCAGGCCCCTATCAAGCAGGAGTTTTTTTTCCCCTTCAGCCAAATATTTGGGAACGGAAAAAGAAGAACGTAACGAAAAAAAAAATTGGGCAACGGGAACTTCGAATGCGAAGGGACGGGTAAGCGACGAGACCAGACGAGAAGAGACGGACAAGAGGGGTTTCCCGTCAATTTGAAGGGAGGGTCTTGGATTTAATCCATACCTACCTAAGGTGCTTATCATTGCCAGGATCTCATGTTTAATTTGATAGTCATCATTGCTGGAATCAATATGACGAGATAAATAGTATGAAAGAGAGATGTGAATCATTGAATCATTGAACCATGACATCCAGTCCCTAAACTTTTGTCCTCCCTCGTTGACTCTGTGGTCTCCCCCATCCCAAACCCTACCTAGGTACTTGGTATTATAATCCATCGAAAGAGATAACGCCTTGTCTCCAGAAAAAACTCCATTCCCTTCCGTTCCCAACCCAGCTCTGATCCTACTTAATACCACCCCCTTTTCTCCGACCCTGGGTAATTCCATACCCTTGACTGTCTTTCTCGTCCCTGTCCGCCTCCCATTTTGCCCGCCTCCCGTTACTTCGTTACCACCTGTGAGTTTGTCGTGTTGTTGCTGTTGTGTCGTTTCAAAAATTATTTCAAAAGTTCGTAATGTCGTCGTGTCGAATTATCGCATCCCCCCCAAAAAGAGAAGGAGAGGAGAAGAAATAACAGCGCCAGCCAACAAAACGCGAAAAGGGAACTCAATCGAAACAACGCCAACGATGAACAACGACCAAAAAAGAGCTTCGCATGCGGCGGAACCAGAGAACGCCTTGGGTATCCTTTCTCAAAAACCGAGAACAAACCCCCATCATAAACGCCGTTATTCGCCATATATATACACCCGCGTAAGATCCATCCATAACGGACATTGCACACCGAATTCGCCCTAACCATGACCATGGAGAGCGGGATTCGGGATCAAAACAAAAATGACAATCCCTCCAAACTCCTAGTTTTCCCGCCCTTGTTGCGCAATATTATTTCCTTTTTGAGACTGACTTGGGATATCCGCGTTGATGATACGCTCGAACATCTCGGGCACACCGTCGGCCAAGAGTCTACTGCCCAGCGTAAAGGGAGTCGAGGTGTTCGAGTCTCTTGACGAAACTTCTCTGCAGCGCGCGGACTGTGCGGCTTACCATGCCAGATTCGGACTTGGACGTTCAGAAACGCTGCTCATACCGGTAAGCTTCGGCCTGGTAATAGTCGCTGGGGGGATGATTAGCAGGGTAGTAATCAACCTGTGTACAGGAACAGTTGACTTGTGAACATGCGCCGTGCGGAGAGTCGCCCTGCGGGTAGCTGCCCTGCGGATAGCTGCCCTGTGGATAGCTGGGCTGTGGATAGCTCGCCTGCGGGTAGCTGGCCTGCGAGTAGTTCCCCTGCGAGTAATTACCCTGCGAGTAGTTACCCTGAGGGAAGTTGCCCTGCGAGTAATTACCCTGCGGGTAGTTGCCGTGAGGATAGTCGCTCCGTTCCTGATACGCACGCTGTTCAACAACGACAGGATTCTCAGGGAGCGGATTGCCAGTAATTCTTCGACCTTGCTTGGAATTTGGAGCAGAAGGCGGATTGTTCAAGTCATCAGCAGGGCCGGCTTTTCTCTTTCCCAGTATGCTCGGATGTGGAGTTTGTGTGAAAGGTGCCGGGATGATGGGTCTATACACCGAGCCAAAGCCTGACGTGAGAGAGGTGCTTGGCTGTGGAGTTTCGACGACGAGGGTCTGGTTGTTGGTATTATTGATATTAACAGCGATATATCCTGTCTGGGGAGGTCGGCTTGGCAATGGGGGTGGAATATGTTGTTGGGATTGTACCTGTTCCGACAAGGGGAATAACCTCGCCAGTGACGGTAAAACGTTGCGAAACCCCTCGGCACTGGCAGCGGGAGGACCGGAGGTCCCATCCCTGACAAGAGTAGTCGAGCATGAGACCATGGAAATGTCCCGCTGGCGTTGCTCTTCCACCTCCGTGGCCATATCAGCCCTAGCCCGATCAGCTTGCGTCCGCCCTGCCTCCATGCCCTCATTCTCCTCTCGCGGAGCGGCGGTGGCTTGATGGACCTCGAGCTCAGCATTCTCCGCGTGAGTCCGTGCCGGGTGTCTCGATGCTGATGGCGTAGTCATAGGGCCGCCGGGATGGGCTACTGCTTTGGCCAGCTTGCCACCATCATCAGCCAGTAGTGCTTTCTGCTTTTGCTCCTTCTCAAACCGAAACTTTTTCTTGAGCGAATCTTTCAGCCTTTTGTTGCGCGCTTGGGCCTGCTGCAACTTATCGGTCGTGACCCGATGTGTCTCCTCCAAGCTCGCATGTTGTTCTCGGAGATGAGTGTTCTCCCCTTGAACCTTGGCAAAGGCCTCTTTGCTGGACTTGGCCTCCTTGGACAGCTTCGCGATGTCCATTTCTTTCTGTGAGATGCTTTCATTCTTGGCAATGAGCTCTGCCTGTAGGGCCATGACTTTCTCGGTTGACTCTGCGTTAGTCTTGCAGAAGGCATCTCTCTCCCTTTTGGCCTGCTCGGTGGCATCGTGTTCCCGAGCATAGTCTCCTTGTAGAGCCTCGAGTCGCTCTTTCACCTCAAGGAGTCGCTTTGATGCGGTGTCTGTCTCCTGCCTTGCCGTGGCCAAACGGGTTGAATAGTCGTTTCTCAGAGACGCGAGGCTCACTGTCAGAATCCCGTTGGTAGTCGAAAGGCTGTCATTCTCCGCGGAAATGGTGTTCCTCTCCTCCCTTACGGCATCTAACTGACGACCGAAATCTCCTCGTGACGCTTCCTCTCTCTTTTTGAAGTCCGCAATCATGTCGTTACGAGCCTTTTCGAAGCCAGCCCTCTCCTTTTCGAAGCCAGCCCTCTCCTTTTCGAAGCCAGCCCTCTCCTTTTCGAAGCCGGCCCTCTCCTTTTCGATGTCGAGCGTCAACTTCTCAAGAGTATCATTAGACTTCAGGCGGTTAGCCCTCTCCGTGGAGAGATTTTCTCTCTCTTTCTTATTCGCCTTCACAAGGTCGTTGTTAGTCTTCGAGACGAGATCTCGCTCTCTAGAGGCTTCGTTTTTGGCCTTGGAGAGGGCATCCCT